CTTTTGTACAGAAAAGCCATGGATTTTTTTTTTTTCATGCTAAAATGCCTCTTTTTTTTCAATACCTGTTTCAGTAATAAAGTTCCTTAAGAGAAGGCACATTATATGAAGAACTCCTCCAAACTCCTGTTTGGACATCCAGTGCCTTCTGCCTTGTGGAGAGTTTATGCTTTTGGCTGTCTTTGTTAATTTCCTCTTTTTTTTAAAAGAAGAGTGGAAAATATTGGGATAAAATTGAAGACCAATTATTTTTTCATCCTCATTTCCTCTTGAGTACAACGGGTGGGTTCTGACCCATAGGCTGCCTCCTGAATAAGGAAGATTGTTTGTGGTAAAGGAAGTTGTCGTGATTAAAAACTCAAAAGCACATCTGCAGAAAACGCCTTGCTTTTAATTATTGCCGACTCATTTAAACTTTGTTTCCTCTCACCCGCTTCCTTTTCCACTTCCATGTGCAAGGCAAAACATAAAACTCCAAAATGATGAAACTAAGTAACATCTCCACCTGAATATTGCATTTCAAACCACTGGTGAGTGTTGGAACAAGTTCTGACACGTCTGACTGGGTACAGAGCGCTGGGCTTTTGCATGTCCCACAGACATGGCACTGACATTTTCTTTTTTCACCTCACAGGACAGTTCTGTACCTCACAGGACAGTGACTGGAGGTGCTTCTAAGTAATGTGTGTAGAAATCCTGCCCACTTCCTCTGAACATGAGCAGAACTCTGAATTTACTGAATGTGCTCATTGGATTTTTATTTCCAAGGTGCTGTGACCTGAAGAACCTCAGAGTTATTTTCACTGTTGCCATTTGCACTGCTTTAGTTGTATTATAATCCTGTTGTTCTGGCTTTGTAGTTCCCTAACTCCTGAAGATATTTTCAATGCAATGGCATAAAGAACATGTCAGTGACATTCATTCTGCTAATGTTATTTAGGTACAATTCATTCCTCCACTCCTAATTGTGTGAAGTGGTAGAGTTTTACAGAAGAGAGATTCAGGTGCCTAAACACAGACCTGTAATGCTATTTTTATTCCTGTCTGAAACCATGTAGACAGGACTGGCAGATGCTGGAGGCTTTTGGTGAAGCAGTAGATGAAGCAGCACTGTAGGGCCACAGACTGATTCTGTATTTGGCCATTTCTTCCCCACAGAGCTCATTTTAAGCCGTTTTTGTTTTTAAAATTTACTTGTGTTGCCTTTTAGTGTAAGTACTTAAGATAAATTTGTTGGTACTTAAGATAAATCCCCTATTTTGTGCTTTTACTGTTCTTCCCATTACTGTTTCTTGCTGCCATAAAGGATAAATTCTTTTGTATTTTTTCCAGAGACACCAATGCTGATTGCAATTAAATAAAAAGCTAAATGAGCTCTAAGTTATCTTTAATACATTAAAAAAGTAATTGTCTGTCTAGAAAGCAAATTACCTCATTGCTGTGGTAGCAGAAAGGATTGTGATGATCTTCTGCCCTCATAAGAGTTTAACTTTTTTCTGAACTGCCACAGTCCTTTGCTATGAGCCAGAAATTTCTGTTATTCATTGTTCATGGTACTGCTTCCTACACAAGTAATATTAATATAAATATATATCAATATATAATAGATAATATATAATTATATAAGCAATATTAATATTGCATTTCAGCAAGTTTCCAGTTGGAACAAGAAGCCTATTGCATTTATTGTATATATTGCATAGTTTAATCGAGGTACAGGTATATGCCACTCTCCAGCATTTGTAATAATAAAAATAAACATGTCTAATTGGATCAAAAATTAAAACTTGGATAAACTCTATTTTTGCATAGAAGCAGATACTCAAAATACTGAAAATATTTCTAATGCAGAGTTTCTTGGAAAGAATGGGTGTAATATAGGGCAGAAAGATTTTTATCAAAGTATTTTAAATGTTATGAGAGAAGCAGCAGCGAAAAACTTTTCACTTCAGTTTGAAAGCTCTAAGGAAACATTCAGTGAGTATAAAACCTCTTTGAGGCATGGAGGAAATGGAACCAGTGTGCAGTTGCTCGTGCTGCCACACCTTACACAGGGGAGCTGGAGGAAGCTGTTTGTGCTCCAAATAATCTGATTTTCATTGTGAGAAAGAAGCTGGTTACATGAGCTGGGCTTTGCAGATGCTGAATCAAAGGCTGAGCTTGGTGGTGTTTATCTTGCAGCCACAAGTCCAAAATCCCAGGCACGAGTCAGAGTCCCACTGGGAGGGAATGGCACAGCTGAGGTGCAGGAGGGGGTGGGATTTGCTGGGCTGGGCATTTAGAAATAAGCTTGATTGCATGGTGGCAATTTTCACACTTGTCTGTAAAACAAACTTCTTAAATGATGATAAAAGTGGCTTTGAGTGGTGCTGCTTCTGCGAATGAGAAGAAAGCAGCTCTTAGGGCAGAGGGGAGTGCAAACACAGCACTTCTTACAGCAATTAACTTTGTTAATGAGCTTGCAGCTATTTTCCTGTTGTGTTGCAAAGTTACATTTCCAAAGATTGTGCTCCAAATTATGGCTAAACTCAATGTAAACCACTGATTTTTCTCACTGCAATACCAGTAATTCCTAAATAATGACTTTATTTGATGAGGATTTTTACATAATTTTTTTTTCAGTTCCAAAAGGCTCAAAGCATTTTAGGACCTACACTACAGTAAGTACAGAACCAGTGTGGTGAGCCAAAATTCACAGAAATAAACTGGAGCATGCAGTGGAATTATCTGTGTGGCTAGATGGAAGAAGGAGGGAATTTTGCCTAAGACTTGAAGTCAAACTCTGGAAATTCCAAACAGGGATGTATAATCCAGAAAAGAGCTGTGAGGATCCAATTTAATGGCACTTCTGCTGTCTGCCTTCACCTCTCCTCGTGTGTGTACAGATAATTGATCAAACCTGTTCCGTTTTCTCTTCAAGTGTGAAGGGTTGGGATTAATACCAGTTGTTCTTTGGGCTTCAGGGAATTACAGTCCTTTAGCTGAGCACCTGGATTCAGCATTTATTTTAGTTTGCTTAAATTACCAACAGCATTTATGAAATTACCAGTCTGCTCAGAAATTAATATAAAAACGTGAAACTCTGTCCTCTGCTTCTAATTTAAATTTCAAGCTGCTAGGAAAGAGATGACTTGGCTGTAATTGAAAACCAAGTTTTCAGAAAAACAAATTTGAAATTCTCCTTTTTAATCTCTCACCTTTTGAAAGCTCTTTGTAGTCTATATCTGTTCAGCTTCACTGTGACTCTTTAAATAAAGAAACTAAGTTTGCATCTTGTGCTGTTACAGAATAGCTTGAGATATAAAATAAAGGTAATTTTCCCCTTTTACCTTTTATATAGACTTTTGTAAAGTGTCTTTGTAAGTTAGAAAAACCTAGGATATGCAAGAGAAGGCTAATAAGGGCTTGATTAATGAATACTAGAAAGAGTTCTACTTTTAAATAAAAACCATCCTTGCAGCAGAGGACAGATGTAAATCTGATATGACTTTTGCAGGTTTTTATTTCTGTGATATGTAAAAACATCTCTATGAATTCTTCTAATTGATATTCAGTTTAAAAGAATTCTAGGTTAACCTGAAAATATCTTAGTATTACTTAGCTGTAATGTGAGGGTTAAGTTAGGATAAGGACTGAAGTTTTCCACAGTAATTTGTTGTTGTCCTTGAGGAAACATTTCCTAGTTCACAGATATTCTAGTTTATTCTTATGGGATAAGCAAATAACATTTTCTTTTTCTCCATGCTTGTTATTTTGATTGCATTTAATCATATTCTAAATTGTGATGTTTCATTGCCAGCAAGATCTTCTCATGGTGTTTTTGTTCCCACATCAAAAGTATTCAAAAGTATTCACAACTGCACATGCAGAGCTCTGCCCTGACTGCTCACATCCCTCTGCAAACAAAGATACCTGGGAGATTTATGAATGCTCAGGGTGGAAAATAAACCAAGAGAGTTTCCCTCCTGTTCTTGAACAGAACTTGATGATCAGAAATTGGTGCTCAGAAACACTAAAACCCTGTGGTGTTACTTCTCAGTGGACAAACACATCCTCAGTGGGAAGCACCTTAAAAATCAGGAATAGCAATGGAGAGTTACAGTGTGATGGGAGTGCAGTTGGTATAAAACAGTTTATACTTTGCAGAAATTAAGTCCTGTGGTTCTCTGAAGGTTTTGTGTAGACTGCAGACTTCAGGAGGAGCAAACAGCAGAGAAACAGCAGAGTTCTGTCCAGTCACACTCCTGGGGCTCTCAGCTTTTTCCTTGTCTAATCAGAGATGTGTGAACAGTTCAGTGTTTCTATGAAATTGCATTAATATGTGTCTGTGCAGAATATGATCCTGCTCATATTCTCTACATACATTTTGGAAGCTTTCTGATCACCTACTGGCACAATAATATTAAAATTCATATTTCACCTGTACAGCTACAGAAGAGTTTTAGATAAGGAGATATTGCTCAGATGGGTGTACAGTGCTTCAGTGACCAAATCAAAATGAGGTGTCTCCACTGTTCTGCCACAAACAAAACAATCAGAATATGAAGGGGGTTTTGCTTATTTTATATTAATTAAAAGTAATGGCAGGTATTATAGGTTACAGGAATGTTGGCAGGATTGTCTGGTGTTACTCAAGTTCCACTTTTCATTTGCTGAAGTAACTTTGGGTTGAAATTTTGCATTCTAGATGTCTAGAAATGCCTATGGAAAATTTCCTTTGAAAATTTTAACCAAAATAGTTCCAATATTCCCAAAAATTAGGTTATTGGAAAGATACTCCTCAGTGTTTTCTAGAGACCTTTAAAGTCTGTAACCATTTAACATTTGAACAGAGCAACTGTACCATATTACCTTATGAACATAGAAGGGGGCTAGTAAGGACTGCATAGATAATCAATTCCTGGAGTTGCCATGTTCTGAATGTTTATTTTGTGATCCTGTTTTGTTGCCACGTGGCTGTGCACAGTTTAACCTAGGGGATTTGTGTAATTTTGCTTTAGATTATTGGTTGCCAAGTGAGAAGAGAGCCACTGGACTCCACTGAACGATACACTCGCTGGATCAATAACCTCAGCCAGGAACAGCTCCTTACACAGGTATCTCTGCTGCAGCTGGGCTGAAAACAGCATAAGAGCTTTATTTGGATGGATTTTTTTCAGTCATAAGCATAATTGGATAGTTTATTAAGGTTATCAGATTTAAACATTGTTTGTTCAAGAGAAGCCAAGGCTGTGATGCAAGTGATCATTGCAGAACAATGACCTCACCCTGAGTGAGAATGAAGCTTTCAGGTTTGGAGTGAGCTTCACGTGTCTCACTGCTGCCTGTGTTATCTGTGGAAAATTTCCTTTGAAAATTTTAACCAAAATAGTTCCAATATTCCCAAAAATTAGGTTATTGGAAAGATACTCCTCAGTGTTTTCTAGAGACCTTTAAAGTCTGTAACCATTTAACATTTGAACAGAGCAACTGTACCATATTGGCTTATGAACATAGAAGGGGGCTAGTAAGGACTGCATAGATAATCAATTCCTGGAGTTGCCATGTTCTGAATGTTTATTTTGTGATCCTGTTTTGTTGCCACGTGGCTGTGCACAGTTTAACCTAGGGGATTTGTGTAATTTTGCTTTAGATTATTGGTTGCCAAGTGAGAAGAGAGCCACTGGACTCCACTGAACGATACACTCGCTGGATCAATAACCTCAGCCAGGAACAGCTCCTTACACAGGTACCTCTGCTGCAGCTGGGCTGAAATTACAGCAGGAAAACAGCATAAGAGCTTTATTTGGATGGATTTTTTTCAGTCATAAGCATAATTGGAAAGTTTATTAAGGTTATCAGATTTAAACATTGTTTGTTCAAGAGAAGCCAAGGCTGTGATGCAAGTGATCATTGCAGAACAATGACCTCACCCTGAGTGAGAATGAAGCTTTCAGGTTTGGAGTGAGCCTCACATGTCTCACTGCTGCCTGTGTTATCTACCTATGCTTTCATGTTCTAAAATTATGGTTTTCTTCTCAAAAAGTAGATTTCAATACAAAAGGGAGACAAAAAATCTTTCATGAGAATGGTTGTTCTCCCACCCAAGGTACTGACCACTCCTGTATCTGTTTAAGTTTTGCTTGGGATCATTTTAAAACTGCAGTTCTTCAGGCATTAAACATTGGGCTCATTATACATTGTTTGTAAGTGAGATGCATCTTGTGCAACTGAAGATGACAGTTTTTGGCATAAAGATCAGTTGTTTCATTAGGCTGGAGGCCAATGCTGAACTAAAATAGAGACTAAAAGAGACTTTGGCAAAAACAAGTTAAGCTGTGGAAGAAATCAATCCAGCTTGTGGAGGAATGTTGTACAGAATATAAGAAATCTAATGGATGGTTTGCAGAAAACATCCCAGCAGGCTTTGAGATCCAAGTATTTGGGCTTGGCTTTTGGGATGCTGTGTTAGAAAGACATTTGGTTTTGATTTCCCTAAATTTAAGTGGTTGAAAAGATTAACATATCCTTATTTGTTAGACTTCATTATAAACTCTGTTGTGTTCCACTAACTCCAAAAAATCACTGACAGGCCCTGCTATGGTCATTGTAACACAAGGAGTAATCTACAGACCTTGTTTTAAAATCACCAGTGGTATTACAGCTCCCTGTAATTCACCAAGGCAGAGTAATTACAGAAAAAGTTACCCAAGGAATATTTGGATTTGCCTGTGAGTGTGGCATTAGAAAAAATACAGATTTAAACCAGTGGATTTATCTGACAGCATCTGGATCACTGTTCTGGTGAAAAAGAGAAAAGTTTGAGCATGTAAGAGCTTGTCCTACACAATTTGAAGCATTTTAACTAAATGGCCACTTAATGTTTGATAAGTGGAAAATCAAAACAAATATTCTGATTTTGAGATTATTAAAAAAACAAACAAACAAAAAAAACCAAACAAAAAAAAAAACCCAAAACAAAAAAACCCCTCATTTTAAATAAGATGGGAATCAATGTGTTCTGGAAGAGATTATTTAGTGTTGTGTTTCCAACAGTAGGATGCAAATATGATGACCTGGGAAGTCCCTTGCAATCTTACACTCTACTAATACCTCTTAAAGCCTTAATAAATGCATTATTTTTACATCTAATTTAGAGGCACACAATTTACAGGTAGATTAGCAGCTCTGGATCATACATTGGGTTTGGAACCAGCAGAACTTGTGGTGCTTGCCCATGAGTTTAACAAGATAAGCTTTATAGATTGACACTATTTGTGTGTTCCTCATTATTTTTATCGTGCTACCTCTTCTCCACTAAGTTGAATGCAGAAACAGAAGTTCCTCAAAGACAGTAGATTTCTGAGAATTCCATGAGTGTCTGAAATTTTGGAGAAATTGTGCTGCACCAGCTCCAACTCACGTGTTGTTAAGCACCACAGACTCCCCTTGGAGGGAGATTTTAGGTGCCCAATTATCAGACTTCAGCTGTGACACGAGCCTGGGGCAGCTTGGCTTTTCCAGCCTTGGAGCTAAAAGAGCTGCTTGGTTTCTGTGAGCACGTGGCACTTCTGCTTTTGTAATCTTCTGATTAGAAATTCACAGAGGGGGATAATTATTTTGGTTTTTCTTACTTAAAACAGTGTGGGACAGAGGAGGAATTTGGAGAAAAAGTAAAATTTCAGCTGTACTCTAATAATCAGGGTGTGAATCAATTATCCAAGGTCCCACTCATCTGCCATGATATATCATATGCTTTATTTTGTGTCTATGTGGTTTTTTAAACTCTCTTCAGTACCAAAAAATCTATAATGATGGACCTGTGCTAATGGATTTGTAGAATCTCTGAGAGGAACAGTCCTTCAGGGAATTGAGGAAAATTTGTTTTAATTTACAGCACGTTGTCTGCAGCAGATTCCTGTAGTGAAAGCACATTTAGCTTTTTTTAGCTCTCTCTGTACTCAGTGCCCAGCTCTTTCCAGTCACTTCTGCTGCATTTCCACACCATGCACACGCTGATTATTTGTGCTGGGAAGGGGGAAACCAAGTGACCAATTCCAAAAGGAAAAAAAGCCAGTTGTCAAGATCATGTTGTTTGTCATAATGCTTATGTTATTGATCAAATAATTTCCTGTGGCCCTGGATTGCTCTGCTGGGCAGTGCCCAAAGGCAGGTTTGGGAGCTGTGGTTGGAGGCAGATATTTTGGGAAGTGCCCTCAGACACCTCTGTGCTGGATGCTGGGTTTGGTAGGTTTTTTTTGCTTGAGTCAATACCAGATTTTTGGATCAAATGCCCATCCCCGGTCCTCATGCTGAGAGGATCTTTCAATACAAAATGCTGCCAGCATTTTAACTTTTCCCTTAGCCCTGGCCTCTTGATGCTTACTCATCCATTAAATGTTTCTCTAAACAATTATACTGTAACATTCCAAAGATAAGTTATGGTATGCGTGAAATTTCAGAATATATACCCCAGAGAGTGTGGTGGGAGTGAGAGAGTACAAAGAGAGCATGATAATGAAAAAAGCTACTTTTTAAAAGATCAATATTTGCTTCTTCAATGTTATCTTTTGCATAAATGACAGGTGAGCAAACCACACTTTTATGGGTATCCTGATATAAACCTTAAATACATGTGTTCTGGAAGACTTGTTCTTTCTGGCCAAGAGTAAAAAAAAAAACAAATAAAAAAGGATAATTGCAACTGTTCAGTAAGTGCAGATCACAGTGACAGGTACAGGAAGAAAATGAGCAAACAAATTAAGAGAATGGGCTGTTTTGATGTTGAAGTAATTGGAAAAAAATGTAGATTAAAACTAATCCAGTGGGATATCCGAGTCCAAATTGTGCTTGTAAATGTGACTGAGGTTTGATGGTGCAGCCCTTTTTTACACTGGAAATGTTTACTGGGCTGTGTAAGTGAAAAGTTCTGAATGGTTTTAAGGTTGGATTAATTGCACAAATATTTATGCAAGTCATTTTTAAGGACTGTAAGTAAAAGAGCTGAGTTCATGTCCACATCTGTTAATTCACTGCTTGAGGCTAGTTTAGTCTCTCAGCCTGTGAAGTATTCTGTTCAGCCTGAAGCACAGTCCCATCTCACCTACCATTTTTCCTCCTCCAAGACAAGGCATTTCCACCCCTTCACGTGGTTTTTGACTTGGGAAGCAGGCAGTAAACTCAGGGTGACTCGTGAGGAGACTCCTGCCAAAAGGAAGGGCCTGTGCATGATAAGGCTGGACTGGAGATAAATAACTAATGTAGATAAATAACTGTCTGAAAAAGCCTCAGTGATTCTGCATGACCGTGTCTGTATGACTTCCTGATGCATGCTGGACTTTGCAGGTTATCTCGGAGCTCTGGGTGTTGGATAAATCTGGAAATTGTCACAGGTGATTTGTAGTTCTTAGCAATAATCTCTGCCAACCACCTGACAGAAGAGCAGTAATCAACATTTCATAGCACACGTGTCTCTGTGCTCTAAAAGGTGCCTGTTACATTTCACTGACAGCTTTTAAAGCCGTGCTTTTCTACTTACTGACTCATCCTTTATTCAAGTTTAATTAATATTTGGTAAAGATTCATGCTACAAATCAGCATTTACTACAGATGCTCAATTTGGAAATAGTTCCAGCATTGTGGTGGAGTCAGAGTGTGCAATTTATTTTAAAGGCAAGAAGGACCTGACAGCATGGCTGGACCTTTTCTTTCCATCAATTCAGTGCAACTTAAGATCCCATTATCATCATGTAGCTCAGTAAGGAACTTCTCAGTGGTCAAAAGCTAGATTGCAAGTAGGATGAATTTTCCAGGTGGACCACGGATTGAATATCTCTGGCTTACAGCAGCTGTTTTGTCTACCTGCAGACAGAAAATTCCACTTTATTACTGCTTGGGTTGGCTGTCCATGTGTCACAACTGAAATAATAATCAAGGCAGTAATCTGACAGTGGCTGTATGCAATGCCTGCTGTCTGGTTATGTTAGTAAAGGCAAAAACTGGCCAGAGGGAAAGGCTTTCTTACTTAAGAATGAATAAAACATGAAAAGGCTGATTGAAATCCCCTCCACCCTCCCTCCTTCCCTCCCCCCATCGTTGCCACTATTAATGGTTCACTTGTGTTTGTTGTCTTTCAATAAAA